TATTAATATTGTATTTTAATATACATATACTTTTTATTTATGTTAAAGTAGAATTATTATTTACTTTATCTACATAACTTTATAATAATTATACCTACATTACTGTATTTTAGTCATATCAATTTTATGATCTGGTTTGATAAACCGTTTCACTTTAGCTATATCCCGGTTCCTGTAATAATAAAGAAAATAAACATATTAATACAATTCATTTTAAATTGCTTTTTATAATTTTACAATGAAATGTTTTGCACTCACAGTTTAAGTTTAGAAGGTGCAACAATATTCCTCTGTTGAAGGGACTTGAATCTATCTTTTAATAGATTACCAGTTGGTTCAGCATTTCTTAAATTCCCAGTTAATTCTTTTGCTAATTTAAAATCAGGTTCTAAAGGTTCAAATTTGATTCTACTGAGAGTTTTAGTGCCCATTGCTTTAAGTGCTTTTTTCTTTAGTCTTTTTTCTCTTACACTTTTTGTTTTTCTTTCTTTAGCAGTCAACTGCCTGTCTAATAGTTTTAATCTGTATATGTCTGAGATTTTTTTTTTCTCAATTTTGTTCTGTTGTTTTTTAAATGCTAATTCTTTCTGTTCTTTTTGTTTACGTCTTTGCACAAGAGTCTTCTTCACATTCTGCACAGGTGGATTTATAGATTTTACTGTTGGATCTTCATCTTCATCTTCATTTTCCTTAGAATCTTGACTGCAATCTAATTTCAGACCTTCTGACATTTCTTTTATCATGTTCTTTTCTTTTTCCTCAGGTGAAATCTGAAATAAAATTTAATATGATAATGGTTTACTTTTGAAATGTAGATTTCATAAAAATTTATAAATAAAGATACCTTTTTAAACATCTTTGTGGTAACCCTTTCCAGATGTTTTTCTTCCTTTATTAATTCTAATTCTTTTTGTGCCACTTCATGTAACAAGTTTTGATGATCTTCAAATGATGGATTATAAGACATTCCTGGATGTGGAGCTTCAACTGCTGGTAAAGCAGAAGGTTTTTTGTGCAATGAACTTGGCAGTTTCTTTTTCTTTTCTCCAAAATGTATTAATGTATGTCTAATAGTATCTCCAGACAACCACTCAATGTCAACATCTTTTCCAATCTTCTTTTTCCAAACATCATTTTTAAATTCACCTCTTTTCGGTTTACTTAATCTTTTCTTCATTGCGATCATTCTATTCTTCAGACTCAATTTCTCTTTTAATTTCAAAATCCCTCGAGATTTTCTAATAGCTTCCTTCCTTAATACAAGCGCATTTGTTCTTTCTTCTTTCGTTCTTACACGATTTCTTTTCACTATTGGATCCGGAATGGCTGTGTGAGGTTTTAAAATATTGAAACATTGTGGTTCTTTGGATTTCAATAATTCTCGACGTAGTTTCTTTGGAAGAACCTCAGGTGTTGTAGAAACTTTAAATAATTCAGAATCTTCGCGAGTAGTAAAAGAACCTAACCTCTCTTCTAATCGTAAATCCTCCAAGAACTTATCAACATCCCGTGTGTCTACATGTTTACGCCATGCTTTTTTATTTTTTTTAGAAACCTTTCGTTTCTTAGTTTTAACTGCGGTCATTTTTTCTTAATTAATAAAATAATATCACTTGCTACAGCACGCAGCTTTTAAAAGCAACGTGGTTTCCACCTTGAAGTTTAGGTATCTATATACGTTTGTGATTGGTGAATTTGTACTTAGAAAGATACAACTTTAAGAGACCACCTAATATGTGGTAAAAAATACTATGAAGATAATTAAGAGTATCAGTAATCTAACTTATCATACTTGTAGCGATTGTTTCAGTAACTACACTAGGAGATATAACGTATTTATGTGTATATTTTATGTTACTTCGTGCCTACTGGTTATTGCGTATTGTCCTATTGCGTACCCTAGGGTAATCTCAGCAGTGACATCTCACGGAAACTAAATGTCCCTATTAGGAAATTAGCATCCCCTACATATTTATCATAGTTTTATATACAGGGTGTCCCGTAACTCCTCGAACACCCGGAAATGGGGGGTTGCAGAGGTGACTCTGAATAACTTTTTCCTTTACCAAAATGTTGTTTGAAGCATCATTTTTGAATTATTAACGAAAAACACTGGCCAATTAGAGCGCGCGTAGAGCCCGCTTCTTGGGGAATTTGAGGGAATTATCGCCCGTGGAGCACTGAAGTATTCTGTTCACGATGATTTTAGGAAGTTAAATGAATAAGGAAAACTAACGTTGAAACTTTTAATAAACTAATAAATAACTTAATAAATAACTTGATTGGATCAATAATTAACGAAATGTTTAACTATAACTTTATTACGAGATAATACGTCTGAGCTCTTTGAACGAAGAAAATTGAATTGAATGTTCAGGCGTCGTTGATTATTATTTATAATGTTGCTTTTGTTAAAACAATCGTCACCAATTAAACTAAAGATTTTATATAAAGTTATTTAAGGATGAATTTGATTGGTTCTCAACATTTGTTTATCAATACATATTTCCTTTAAAGCGAGTGTTTTACACCTCAGCAATGTTTTGTCCATAGCGACGACGATAAATATTGATTTTAACGAGCGATTGCAAATAGCAATCAATGAGATTTACTGTACACTGTATGTACATGTTTTAAGTTCTTTTATTCATTGACACCAGTTTCAGACTGTCCTAAAGCCACGTTCACGGGCATGCACGACGAGCGATTAAAACTACGTTCATGCGATAGCGTAACAATATATATTTTCATTTATACATTTACTTTCTGTTGCGTAAAAAATATTACTTTATTTTTAACGGTATTATGTGAAAATAAAGGAGAAAATTTCTAATGTTTATAAACTTTAGTTTGTGAAAAATTAGTTAAAAATCAAATATTTTTGATTAACAAAAAAATTATGTTACAATGTTTTTATAAATGTAAACATTATGCATTATAAATGAATATAAACTTTTTTCACTGAAATAAAATTTTATGAATGAATTGGATTAATGTAAATAAATTAAAATAGAGCTATTCTTGGCAGTTATATTATTTTACTACGAAATAGTACAATCTTATTATAGCGATCATTTATTTTTAATTGGAAACTTGATCAGTTGTTTTATCGTTTCTTTTTATTTTTCTACTTGTGTTCCGTAATGCCTATATTTTATTTTTTGTTCCCGTTGTTAATACATTTCATTAATGTGTTATTACATTAACGTCGTATATTTTACAAAATTATATGGTGTATTACTACAATGTGTTTAACGTTTGCGATACTTTCAGACTATTTACAAAATTTTTCTTTTCAATTATCTCAAATTTTAATCAAATTGTGTACATTCTACACAAAATTCATTCGTTAAAAATGTTTTTAATAGAATGAGCACACTGTATATGAATATACTTTGTTCAATTTAAAATTTCTAAATTTTGTGACATATTTCAAGGTTGTTTCCAAGTCGTGGAAGACGAAGCAGATATAAAAAGAAATGCAAAAATTGATTTTAGTACAATATTCACAGGTGTCTCTTACGAAATTGCAAATCTGAAGGATAAATAAAACATTACAAATTTTTAACGATGTATTCTATTTATTAATATATCTTTCTTTGTTAAAATTTGATTTATCATTGAAAAATTATCGATTCTATATAAATTCGCCATAATATATTTGCTCACGTAAAGATTCAGCTTGTTCCCGGACACACGTGTTGCGTATGCGTATACACACGCGCGCATCACCTGTGGTGCGGTCAGAAGGCTGGCCACAACAGCAGAGAAAAAGTTGTACTTACCGATGGCTGTCATCGCTTTTTCTGACAGATGTTTTTACGTGCTCTATTACGCGAATTTTATCCTATCCGAGCCGATTCCAGCAATAATTCTTCCCTTGAGTCATCAGTGAGCTTGTTATTGTTGCGATAATTGAAAAGCGTAAGTCTGAGTGTGCTCGCTGTAAGTTTAAAGGGTGCGTCATCGGAATTCCAAGGATCACGATCACCCAAAAACGATTGTGTGTAAGGGTCCGAAAGAATAAAAGAGGGAATAAAAGAAGTGTGAAGAAAATCACGTGAAATAGAGAGAGAGAGACTGAAAACAAAGGGTATGGCGAAGACGTATGATTATTTGTTCAAGTTGTTGCTGATTGGTGACTCAGGGGTCGGCAAGACGTGCGTCCTCTTCAGGTTCTCCGAGGATGCTTTCAACACGACCTTCATCTCGACCATTGGTAAGTATATCCTTTTTCTTTCCTTTTTACGTCGATTTGCTTTCTTTTCTGGCTTTTATCCACTTATTCTGGATTTGTAGGCTGGAGGTAATACTCTTAAGCTTGATAGTAGAATTTTTCCATGAAAATTATAAGTTATCTGTAAAATCTTTATACGCAAATAAAAAATTAATTATTAAGAGCATATTTTTGAATGAGATTTTCTACTTTATCAGTGTAAAAGTAGTTACTCAATTTTAGAAAACATACTTCTTCAAAAGGAACCACATTAGGTACTCGATGATTATGCAATGATTGTTTGAATACATTTGATAATTTTGTGAAATATTTACTAATGAAGATAGCCTTTAAATGTAATAGAAGTTTCAATAATGCAATAATGTATTTGTATTTTGTAACTTGTATGTTTAGAACTGTTCGAGTATCTATTATATATTGTTTCTTTTTAATCACTGAAATTTATTTATAGTCTTAATATTATGTATTTATAATTTTATTTACCTGCTTGTTTATCTTCTGTAATGAATTTCATATATAAATATGTAGTGTCCCAGTAATATATATTTATATTGCTATGTATATGCTTATCTATTCATGTGTTTTTCCAAATATTCATGTAACTTCATTATTCATTTTTATCTACATAACTTATCTATTAGTTTACACATTTATTTGTTTATATACACATTAATTTATTATGATTAATCTTCATCTAAGGGTATTTAATCTTATAATATAAATGTTAAATATATCTACTACTTATTACCTTAATAATAATGTAATCTATCAGAATAGATTTTTATATCT